ATGCAAACAGACTTGCGTGGCTTCTGGCTGTGACGCTGGTAGGCACAGGGACAGCCTGTTCTGTCCCGGAGACGATGTCATCATGAGTTGGACACGATCTCTGGGAAGGAGATGTGACCCCAGTCTCTCGGGTGATGTGTGCACTCTTGTCCTCACCTCGTCTCCATGGCAAACAGCACTGCCCAGGTGGAGACTGCTCAGTGTGGTTGACAAGTGTGAGGCTGAGGACATCGTGCTTGGAAATGTGGAGAGCCGGCCAAGCAGAGACAGGGACTTGACAGCAGAGACTGTGAAGATGGTGCCAGATCAGATAGGGCTTCCTTCACTCGAGTGTGTGGTCATTGTGAATTGAAACTGACTCAACACGTAATAACAACTGACACCTAATAACAACTTCATTTCGATCACATTGTCATATTCCCCCCCTTCAAACTATCTTTCTAAAATGTAACAGGTAAGTCAGAGTACACCTAGGAGCGTCCTTCTGTGCACAGCCCCACCACGTGTTTCCCTCCGAGCCCCTGGACGTGGAGGATGAGCTCAGGCTAGTGTTGGACCAGGCCCTCTTGTGCTCCAGCCCCTGGGCACCTGACTACAGTGGCCACGACGCCAGCTATATCTTTAGTCCCCATTCACCTCCTGACCACTGTGGTTACTCCTGGGTGGGCAGATCTTTCTGGCCCCTCAGTGGGCTCCCCTGCCTGTGCTGGAAATTGAGGCTGCCCCAGAATACTAGAATGAGGAGCTCACGAAACCAGGGCTCCCCAGAAGTGTCTGGGTGTCTCTAATTGATGTCCACTCCCCCGGCCTTTGATCTGTCTGGGGAGGCCTCCACAGGGCGGAGCGAGGCCAAGGCTGCACCCCTTGGTGAGCTGGGGCGGAATGGCACACTTTATGTTGACTCCTGATACTGGTTCTGATTTGCCTTCGGTTAGGACAAATGGCTCTGCCCTGGCTCTCCTGCCTCCAGACACCCACTCCTCAGGCTTACGCAGTGGGCGCTCTGTCTCTGCTTGGTCCCTGCCTGGCCTTCCTGGTTTCCCCATTTCCCCTCATTCCTTTCTCAGTCCCTTCCTGATTCCTTTTGCTTCCAGCCCCTTTAACCCCACTCCAGCTTCTGGGCTCCATCTGCCCCATGGAGGTCTCCACTCCAGCCGAAGCCCTGGCATCAACTGCCTTGCCAAGTCTGGGGCTGACAGGGAGAGAGGACCCATTGGTGGGGTGGGCCTCTTTGCATGAGGAGGCCGCTCGGCTGAGAAGGTCCATTTCTACTCTTACTTCTGTTACATCTAATATGGAGCACGTGCTCCCTGGGGCTGGTGGACTTAGGCAAGGTTCTTGCTGTGGGGTCCTCCCTAACTGTTGTATGTGGACAGTGCAGCCATGGTCTGACCCCCAGGGGGTGCTGTCTTTGTGGGGTGGGTTACCCTCTTCTACTGGGGAGCCTGAGGCCCTTCTCAAAGCCATGGGAGTCTGTGTCTTGGACACCCAGGGTCCCTCACAAAGGACTTTGCAGATGGTGCACAGATATTGAGGAAGAACCTGCTGTGTGCCCAGATGGGAGTGTCTGAGTGGTGTGGATGGGTAACTCACCCTGCTATGAGACAGAAGGGAGGGGGTGTGGGTCCACAGAGAAGGGCCTGCAAAGAAAAGCTTTCCCAAAATCCACTCCTGAAAACTCTGGAGGTCAGTTCTCTGCTGACATGTGTGGAGCAACTATGAGTTGAAGTTGGCTCCATGGTTTGGTGTGCTCAGTCTTGGGCTGGGTGCTGAGGTCCCAGTAGGCTGCCTGTGAGATCTGAATCCTGTTTCCTTCTGAGGGGAAACAGAGGTTCCAGCCCCTCTCCCCTGGAATCCTCAGTCTCCAATGTAAAAGGAAGTATCTGCTAGACACCATCTTATGGACCACCATCGACTGGCTTGGCTGTCTGACACCAGTGTGGGGAGCGTCTATGCTGGGTGTTGGTTCACTAGCAGAGTGTGGTGATTGATTAGTGATGTCTGTCACATGTGAGGCCTGGAGAGTGGGTCTGAGTGTTAGAAATTGGCCATCTATAGGTTGAATGATCTCTTAGCTCCTCTTATCAGCACCCATGTTCTCCCATTCAATTATTATGGGGGTTCTGAGACCAGGGAGCTCTTAACAGATTAGCAGCTATAATGGTTTGAATCTACCAGCTGCTTCATGGGAGAACAATGAGAAGCCTCTACTGACAGAGATTTGTTGTTGTTTTTAAGTGTCGTCGAGTTGCCTGGGACTCATAGTGACCCTATATACTCTGAAGCCTGCCCTGTCCTGAGTCAGTCTCACTGACTCCAACACACCTAATACTATTGCCCCAGTTATCATGTTAATCCATCTCATCCGGGATCTTCCTCTTTTGCACTATCCCTCTATCCTTCTGAGCATGAAGTCCTAAGGACTGGTCCTTCCTGGCCACATGCCCAAAGTATGTGAGACAGAGCTTCAAAATCCTTGCCTCCAAGGAGAAATTTGGTTTCACCCTCTCCAGCACAGATCTTATTTGTTCTCCTGGCAGTCTATGGTATGTTCGATACTCTACTCCAGCACCACATCTCAAAGGCACCAATTTTTCTGCTATCATCTTTAAGTCATTGTTCAGCTCTCTGATGTATAGCATCTAATTGCGAAGACCATGGCCTGGCTTAGATGCACCTTAGACTATAGACTGACGTCATTGCTTCTTAGAGATTTATGACCCTAGAAACCTGAGGGAGGGTCACTATGGTTTGAAATTAGACAGCAATGAATTTGGCTTTGGTGGCTTTTGGTACTCACCCCTCCCTGGCCACCTGACCTGACCTCTATGTCTTTTCATAAAAGCATCTTCTCAGCATATACATGGATTTTAACGACTGCACGACTATATAGATTGGCAGCATGTTCAGAGAGGAGGTGTTTGCCTCTGCCCAGGCAGAAAGCTCCAAAGTCCTGGGGGAGCCCAAGCCCAGGAGAGGCAGTCGTCCTGTCCTCCCAGCATGGAGGCAGGAGGGAGTGACCTGCTTTGCAGGTGGAGCTGGCTGTGTGAAAGGAAGGGATTCAGGTAACTGGGACTTGGTGGGTGCAGGAGAGGAGTGGGGTAACTTTGTAGTCTGAAAGCCTTGTCTAGGGTCTGTGCACCCAAATCTAATTGCAGAGGCCACCAGAGCGACTTCTTACCCACCTCTCACTGGAGTTCTGCTGGCCCTGGGCTCCTGAGGATGGGACTTGGTCCTTGACCTTTGCCTATCCACCTGGGAGGCATGAGAAGGGTTCAGCGACAGATTTGTGGACCTGATGGTTCTGGCTGGCAAAGTGTGATGGACCCCCGTGGGGTCCCATCTGGGACAGGAGAGGCACTGTCCCAGTTTGGTGGGAGGGGCCTGGGTCAGACTGAGAAGAGAGGGGTGCAGAGCCAAGAGCCCCGCTTTGGGGACCTTGGTGTCTTGCCCTGGGTCCTCCAGGAGGCTCCGGGCCTCAGGGAGAGGGGAGCTGTGGCAGCAGGAGTCCCACAAATGGGCAGTGACAATACATGGCTGGCACCAGCCTGGGGGACGAATGATGAAGAGGACCGTCCTGCATGCTTATAAATGCCCTCACCGTCTGGACTCTCTCTGGAATCCTCTAATATTCCTTGGGTGTGAAGTCCCATTTTTCCCTGTAATCACAGTATTAAACTTTAATGTCCAATATTAATAAAACATACACTCCCTAATAGAGCCAGCAGAGGCTAGGGACAGGCTGCCTGCAGAAGACTACAATGATCGTCTCTCAGCTGTCCCCGCCAGGCAGAGCCAGGGGGTCCCCCAACGTCCCCCTCCCACTAACAGCACAGCCAACACCCGGTGTTCTCCCCACCTCCCTTCAGGCATGTGACAGAGGATGCAGGGACCTCGATGCAGCAGCAGAGACCTCTGGGGGCAGAGGTAACCCCTTTCCTTCTTGTGGGGAGAGAGGGCTTGTATTACTAAAGTCACCTTCTGGGTAAAGGCCCTATGGAGACAGGGTGAACCTACCTACCTGCTATGTTGAACCAGTCGTTCCCATAGAAGACTTTGCTTGAACTGGACCACTGGGCGAGGGCCACTAGCCAGCCGGGCAGGGCCTCCAAACTCCCCCCCTGCCCCACGGCTGCCTTTTGGCCCTGCTGTCACCCCCAAACCAGGTGTTGGTGCTGCCCATCCCCAAGAGTCATTCTGGGGCCTCTGTCAGGACTGCATTCCCAGCCATGGGGCTGCCCCAGGGCCCCCCCAGCCCCACCCCCTGGTGAACACTCTGGTTCACACTGGCTGCTCCTCACTGTCTGGTGGGGTTCCTGTCCTGTGGTCCACATAGGTCAGATCCAGGTAGACCTGTTCTGGGTTCTCTGGTGCCCTTGTGCCTTTTCTGGAGGCAGCCCTGCCCTTTGGCCAGAGGCCAGGCTGTGGGGCCATGAAAAGCTGTTTTAGAGAGGCCAGTGCTTTGGCCAGGAGCACCCCAGCCCACCTCCCTGTGTTTCCCAAGAGTATGGTGGGCACCCAGAGACCCTGCATGGGAGGGTTGTGGATATACCAGGTAGGATGGTCCTGGCTTTCAAAAATGTATTAGTTTAAAAAAATAACTTTAAATTTTAGTTGTTGCTTTTGTTTAGAATATATATGACTGAACACACACAAGGGTTTTAACATGTCCCATTTATTGACAAGACACTACATTCTTCACATTGTGCAAACATCCCCACCATCCTTTCCTGAGCTGCTTCTCTTCTATTAACATAAATTCAGTTTCTAAGAGTCCAGTCTAATCTTCCAAGTTACTGTTGTCACTTTGATCTCACATAGATAGTTCCTTTTTTTTTTTTGCCAGCTCCAGACCTTTTTAAAATGAAGATAATGGAGGAGTAATTGGGGGCCATGAAACTGGGTTGTTGTTTTTCTTAATATGCAGGTGCTTCATGGAAAGGCCAATTCTTTAATATCCATATTGCTCCATCCTACTCGAAAAGGCAGTGGAGTTGAGATCAGTCATCAGCACCGCCATCAGCATTGCCAGAAAGGATGAGGACAGACATCATGGAATTGGAGAGCTTGCTGGAAATCTTGTCTGCCCGTTTCTGCATTTTCTTCTTCTTCTTCAGGGCAGATGCCAGAGCGTGACCTTGCTGCAGGGGATCTGTCTCCATGATTCTCTGCAACACTGGGCGGCGGTCCACCAGGCTGTAATTCTTGGGTGGATGGTTGACAACGCCTTTAGCCTGCTCCACCTTATGCACAGTGGTTTTCTTTTCCATGGTGTCTACTCTTTCCATCACTGGAGAATGCTGCCACTCGATCTTCATTTCAAGCGAGTCCTTGTCATCCAGCTCAGATTCTCCAGTGGCCAAACATTCCATTGTGTCTTCACTGCCCTGTTCAGTGTCCTCAATGTCAAAAGCCTCTGCCATTTCCTTCACAATCTCAGCACTGAGGTGAGTGGGTAAAGTGTGAGTAGATGGTGGGAGAGTATAGAAGTTGATCTTCCCACTCACCCAGTCAGCCAGGACAGCTCTGGCTGCCTGTTCCTGACTGTATATACCTCCTTTCTTCTTCTTCCCCAAACGGCAGGCCACTGCAGTCAGAAAGCTCTCGGTGGTCTGGAACCCAGAAATGTTGTAATAGTTGGAAATCTCCTCTGAATTGCAGCGTTGCAGAATGGTTTCCACGGCACTCACAGGATCTGCTAACTTCTGTATGTGGATGCAGTTGTGTAGGATGGTACCCACCTCTGAGGTTGGTCCTGGGACAATGCCTGGAGTATCCAGGAGCCTAATGAACTTGTCCAGGTAGACTTCCTGCATGAACCTGGTGATTCCAGGAACAGCTCCTACATTGCACGCACGGTTACGCTTCAGGCTATTGATCAGGCTGCTCTTTCCGACATTGGGAAGGCCCACAACCCCCACACGAATGTGGGTGCGCACGTCCCCAAGGCGGCAATAGTTTCCAAGAACCCTCATAAGGTTTTCTGCTCCAAAGCAGAGCTTACTTTTCAGCAGTGACGGAGAGGCCTGTTCCACTGGCAAAGGGCAACGGTTCAAATTTTTAATCTGATGCTGGGTACTGGCCTTGAAAGGCACAGTGGGCAGCTCATTCCGAAGGTAATCCAGCCACTTCTTCACAATCTCTTTAGGGACCAAGTCAATTTTGTTCAAGATCAAGATTAGTCTCTTGTTACCTTCTGCCTGCAAGACAGCCTCCTCCATTTGGGCACAGCGGCAGCCCAATGGGTCTCTGGCATCCAGGACTTCAAGGATCACATCAGAGTATTCTACCACCTTACGGAATTCCTTATAATAAGCCTTCCTTGTGGTTTCATCATCCAGCTGAGGAAGCACAGTTAATTCCTGCAAAACTTCCTCCTTATGCTCAAACTCCTCCTGGCGTTTCAGGACATCCTGACAGTAGCTGTTGATGGTCCTGCGTCTGTGCCTCTCTTCCTCCCGGGCTAACTGCTGCTTCTCTCTCCATTCCGCCACCCTCTTCTGTTTCAGTTCAGTCTCGTGGTTGGCACGATCATCACAGTGCACAAGCCGGGGAGTGAAGGACGCTCTGCCGACTGCTTTCTTCCCATTCTGCTTTGCAGACTTCTTACCGTCTTTAGGTCCTTTACTTGGCTTTCTGGAGTTGTGTCTGGGCATCACGAAGACCAACTTGAAGGCAGGTAGGTTCAAATCTGGTATCTACGGCGGTATCCGGAGCAGAAACGCCAGCACAGAAGTGGAAGGAACGAAAACACGTTCGAAAGCAGTTCCGCGGCGCTACCGGAAGTGCGTTTCTACTGGAGGCGGAGCTTCAGAGTCCAATCTCACATCAGTCTTAAAGGAGCCGTAACTGATTTCAGTGCGGAGGGAAGGCGGGGAAAGAGGGGGTGAGTGATGCAAACTGCATTGAAACAGATGAGGGAGAGAACTGTTTAAAAGGGATTTGTGATTGGGTATTGTTGTCGTGACAGGAGTCCAGAATGAAGGCTGCTGCACAGTGGACTTGGGGGAGGGATTGCATAACAATGAAAGAGTTTTACTTTTTACTTTTCTAGGAGAAGAGTGAATTGGGGAGGAGGGGGGTAGGCAGGGAGAAAAGTGCAACAGTGAGTGATTGGAAACTCTTAAGTCTCTGTAAACTTTCATTAAAATGAATGATAAAAAAAGAGCACTAATACTCAAAGCAGACTTTTAAATTAAACTAATAAGCTGTGGTTTGTTCTCCAGACGATGTGTGGAATTTTTTTAATTTAAGTTTTCAAGATTGTCTCAGGGTAACAGTGTTCAGGGGTCCACCAGCTCCAAGGGCTTCAGAAAAAGTGCAACAGTGAATGACTGGAAACCCTAAGTCTCTGTAAACTTGCGTTGAAATGAATAAAAAGAGCACTAATACTCGAAGCAGCCTTTTAAATTAAACTAGTAAGCTGTTGTTTCTTCTCCAGACGATGTGTGGATTTTTTTTTTTAATTTAAGTTTTAAAGATTGTCTCACGGTAACAGTGTTCAGGGGTCCACCAGCTCCTAGGGCTTCAGAAAGTCTACAGTCCGTGTTATTGTTGTTGCTGTTAAGTGCTACCAAGTTGACGATGACTCACAGTGAGCCAATGAACAACAGATCTGAACCGTACCTGGTCCTTTGCCATCCTCGGAACCCTTGTCCTGCTCAAGGCCATCATGGTAATAACTATATCAATCCATCTCTTTGCCCTCTCTTTTGTCAACCGTTACCTTTACCCAGTGTGATGTCTCTCTCCACAAACTGGTTCCTCCTGAAAATGTACTCAAAGTAAGTGAGATGAAGTTTCACCATCCTTGCCTCTAAGGAGAGTTCTGTTTGCACTTTCTTCAAGGCATATTTGTTCTTTTGGCACTCCATGTTATAGCCAATAATCTTCTCCAGCATCACAATTTAAAGACATCTATTCTTCTGTCTTTCTTATCCATTGTCTGACTTTCAGGTGCATAGGAAGTAATTGAAAATACCATGACCTGGGTCAGGCCCACCTTAGGCTTTAAATGAATATCATTGCTCTTTAGCACTTTGGAGAGGTCCTTGGCAGATGATTTTTCCAATGCAACCTCTCTCTCTCTCTCTCCTTCCTCCCTCTCTCTCATCTACCATTGGTCTTGATTGTGGATTTAAGTAAAATGAAATCATTGGTCACTCCAATCTTTATAATGATGTTGCCTATTAGTCCAGTGGTGAGGATTTTTGTTTTCTTGATGTTGAGATGAAATTCTGCATTCCCCACCTTTTGATTAGAATTGTTCTACAAAATATTTGACCAGAATGTTCAGCAATGGTGGCTGGGCACCATCTAGTTCTTATGCTTTCATAACAAATATAACAGTTGTTCATGGAGGCAATTAGCTGTACATTTTAGTTCTTATTGGATTATAATTGAATTACCATAAAATTATTCTACTTAACTGGGGCAGGGGAGTGGTGGGTGGGGAGAAAAGTGCAACAATGAATGAATGAATGAATGGAAATCCAAAGTTTCTGTAAATTTTCATTGAAATGAATAATAAAAAATTTTTTACAAAAAGTATGTTCTGGTGGAGCTGTGCTTCCAAGGGCAGAAAGACTGAGTTTTGATCCAAGGGCATGAGGTTTAAATCTACCAGCTGCTCCGTGGTAGAAAGATGGGCACTCTCCTCCCATGATATTTACTGCTTCTGAAAACCCACTGGAGAGCCAGGTATGAATTGGTTCTGATTCCCCAGCACACAACAACACAACAAAAACAACAATACCTTCATAAGACTGCATAATCATCAACACTATTTACTTCCAGATTCTTTTCATCACCCCAAAAGGATACTCTATATCCATTAAGCATTAACTTCCCATTATTTGCTCCTCACAGTCCCTTACAACCACTAATCAACTTTGGTATTTATGCATTTGCCTATTCAGGACATTTAATATAAGAGGGAATCATACAATACCAACCCTGTGTCTGGTTTATTTTATGAAACATGGCTTCAAAGCTCCTCCCAGTATCAGAACACCATTTCTCTTCATGCAAGAGAAACAGCCCATGATGTGTGTAATCCATTCATCTGCCGATGGACACTGAGCTGTTGTCACCTTTTGGCTATTATGACTGGTGCTGCTATGACTATTTATGTACAAGTGTCTATGTGACATAGTTTTTATTTCTTTTAGGTATGTATGGGGGAATTCTGGTGGTCTAGCAGGTAGGACTATCAATTAAGACAACTGCATAGGCCATTTTGATTTAATTGAGAGGTGTAAACTATTTGGTCATTTTTTATTTAATTAACAATCAGGTGTAAGCTGATAGGTCATTTTAATTTGGTGTGAAGACTAATTTGGTATTAGAGTTACAAACTAAATTGTCAGTTTGTAGTGTTTGGAGAGAAAATTGTTCTAATTGGTACAGCACTTATCTGTCAGTTTGCTGTGGGTTGCGGTGATACTGAAAGCTATGCCACTGGTGTGTCAAATACCATAAGTGTTTACCCATGGTGGACAGGTTTTAATAGAGCTCCTAGATCAAGACAGACTGGGGAGCAGGATTGGCATCCACTTGTTAAAGAACAGGCTTTTGAAAACCCTGTGATCATGCATCTGAGAGTTGGACAACAAATAACGATGACAGAAGAAGAATTCGTACCTCTGAGCTGTGGTGTTGGAGAAGATAATTGAACACCCCATCGACTGCCAAAAGAACAACCAATATGTCTTGGAGAGGGTTCAGCCAGAGTGCTCTTTGGAGGCAAGGATGATGAGGTTTTGCCTCACATATTGTGGGCATGTTGCTAGAGGGGTTATTCCTTGGAGCGGGATGTGTTGCTTGGAAGGGTGGAGGGCTGACGAAGGAGAGGAAGACCCTTGACTAAGTGTATTAACATGGTGACTGCTGCCATGAACTCCAGTGTGTTAGGAAATGTGAAGATGGCATATGATAGGATAGAGTTCAGATCTGTTGTTCATAGGTTCACTATGAATCTTAATTGACTCAATGGACCAAAACAACAACAACAACAATAGAGGGTAAGAAGCTGCACTTTCAACCCCAAGGCAGGTGGTTCCAATCCACCTGTTGGTCCATGAGAAAAAGATGCACCATCTTTCCTGTGTAGTTTACAGCCTCTGAAAACCTGCTATAGGTTTGTAGGGTCAGCTATTAGTTGCTTTTTACTCGATGGCACTTGTGTGCTTTGCTTGGGTTCATACTGTTGTTGTTGATTGCCTTCAAGTTGAGCATGACTCCTAGCGACCCTATGAACAAAAGGCCTGAAGCCCCTCTACAACTATCAACATTTATCAAAGTTCATAGAGTTTCCAGAGGCAAGTTGTTTAGGAAGTGGATGCCACTCCCTATTTCCATACTGAGGAGTGGAATTGCTGGGCCATGTGAGCCATCTCTATTTAACTGAGTGGTAGATTGTATTCTGCAGAGGCTATGGTACTTTTCTTTCCCATTGGTTGTGAGAGAGGCTCCAACGTATCCAGATTTTCACAAGACTTTGTGCTATCAAAGGAAACAACGTGTGTAGGGTACTGAGAGTGGTGCCTGTGATATGTAGGGGCTCAGGGTGTGAGAGTTCTGTGACTGTGGGGGTTCTGAAAACTGAGCTGCTCCATGTCCCACTGGGCTAAAACTGGAGACCAGCCTGTGCGCAAGGGCCTGGCCTCACCTGGCTCCAGCTTGTCCTGGATCTGACCTCACTGACTTTGGCTTCACCTGGTTTGGGCCTCACCTGACTCTTACCAAGTGTTCCCAGCCTAAGTACGCAGTACATTTCCTGCCTTGCCCAGTGTTAAAGAATCATACCTTCCAGCCCACTACTGTTGAATCAATTCTAACTTAAGGCAATCCTATAGGAAGAAGTAGAACTGCCTGGTCGGGTTTCCAAAGCTGTAACTATTTACAAGAGCAGACTTCCAGATCTTTCTTCATTACAGTGACTGGTATGTTTGAACCTATAACCTTTTAGTTAGAAGCCAAGCTCTTGACTGCTACCCCACCAGGGCTTCTTTATCTGGCATAGATAGTGGGTATTGCTAGTGTCTGCAGTTCTCATGTTTCCAGGAAGGTAGGCTCCAGAGATGAGTCAAATGTTCAGTTGTTGTGTTGCTAAGTCCCCTTGAGTCTGGTACGGTCCACAGCCACCCTGTGAATGACAGATCTGAACCCCGTCTTATCCTGTGCCATCTTCATTGTCTCTGACATGCTTGAGTCCCTTGCTGCAGTCTCTCTGTCAGTCCATCTTGTTGAAGGTCTTCCTCTCTTTCACTGATCTTTCCAAGGAATAGCCTCTTCCAGCAACATGCTCAGAGAAGGAGCACTCAGTAGAAATATTCGATAGAGCACCATAAGGTGCTCCTGAGTCTTCCCCCCTTCTGTGGGGTGATTCTTCTGGGTGCAGCTGTGGGCTGTAGAAGAAGCCGCTTTTCTCCTCACGGTTTTATCGTCTGGGGAGCTCTGGTGTCCTAGCGGCAAGGAGTTGCACTGCCAAATCAAAAGCACACAGTTTGGATCCACCAGGAGCTCGTTGGAGGAAAGATGGGAGGTTTCCTCCCATGTAATTTGCAGCCTCTGAAAAGCCACTGGAGGGTCCATTGTTAGCTGGTTCAGGCTCCATGGCACAACATAACAGCACTTCACCTTCTAGCAGTTCCTTCTCGTTCCTGGTCTTGGTAGATGCACCTGATTCTCTTCTGTCTGCTTCTCTCTGCTTTCTCTTTGTCAATTCTTTTTTTTAGAACTCAGAAGTGACAAGGTTTAGGATCTTCCTTATTGTGATGTGACTTCATTGTTGTTAGCTGAGATTTCAAATGTATTTGAGGGAACAGAACTCAACCCACAACAAATCGCCATTGTCCTTGCCTTCAACCCCCCCACCCCCACGGGCAGACCTTGAGTCAGGCACCATCGCTGTCCCAACAACCCATGAGCCAGGTTGTCCTGGGTCAGGTGCTGCGGAAGGTGTGTGGGTGCAGTGAGTAGGAGGAGAAACAACAGGACCATGGATTTCTCCCGCCCCTAGAGGCTCCCGAGTCTGCAGGCCTGTGGTGGGGGGCCAGGGAGGGACATGGCAGCACAGCCAGATGCCCAGGGCTGTGAAATGTTTATAGAAATCGAGTCTGGAGAGAAGCAGGAAGTGCTGCCAGGAAGCCGGTGGACAAAGAGGCTTTACCAGAGCTCACAGAGATGAGGAAAACCTGCTTGGAAAGTCTACACATGTGGGGATCTGAGAGGAGAATGGGTGCTTTGTGTGTGCTGTCCTGTTCCTGCACCATGCCTGGTGCAGCTCACCCTGTGGGCCATCCCTGAGAACCTTCCAGAATGTGCCAGAAGCTTGTCATCTTTCTGATTTGAGCCAGGTTATGTGGTTGCAACATGAGACACTGGAGTCTCAGAACATTTTGGATTCCAAGATTGTGAGTTTGATGCAGGTTTCAAGATCATGTCCTGGGACACTTGACTTGTTGGTGGGCAGGAAAGAAGGTGAGAGTTTATTGGAGTGGGGAGGAGATCAGACCCCTTAGGGGTCATTTGTAACCCAATCTAGAGGCCTCAAAAAGCTTATAAGGGAAGCTGGTGGAAAACCAAACCAAAATAAAATAAACAATTCCCATTGAGAAAAATTTGACCTCCCTTCACCC